ACCTAGGGAAGGAGGACTGCGTAACAATATGACAGACTCCGATCAACATTCCCAGCACAAGGATGAAGAGCTGTGAGAAGGCCAGCGTGGAGTGCGGAAGGTTCATATGAAAGCCGCTAAAAAAAGGGCACACCGTACCACATTTGATTAAGCAAGTAAAATATTGTGAGAGTAAAGGCGTGATTGGAGGATATATGTAATGTGATAATAGGCCAGGGCAGAATGGGAGATACCATAACTGTTTAGCACACGTTTGGTCAAAGGATCGGCTTCACTTATCTCTTTGACGAGTTGGAATATGGTGGACGAATAGTAAAACTCACTGACGATGCCGACTACGATGCCGGCGAAACGTCTGGGAATGTACCACGTCCAGTCCGACTTTGGAAATAATTATGCATGCAATGGACTCAGGACAAAGTGCGTTCCTATAAGACTTCCTACCAATATGACCAATTTGCGAAAACAAGGTCAAACAACTTCTTTGCATAGCATTGTTTATCAAAAGGTATTCTCATCCAAGATGGACTAAACTATTGGCCTTGCATAAGTCTGATCAGCATCCAAAGAGGGATACGATCCTTGCTATTGAAACATACAATCTCAGCACCTTAGCCAACAAATCACGAACGCCTGAGAAATTTATATATGGACTGTAAATAAAGATAATCAATAGTTAGCCCCACTTTAATATAACGTCTTTGATTCTTTGGAAAGTCGTATAAATTATATAAATGATTCAATTGTCTCTTATCCTACATTTAATTTGGGTCGGTTGAAATTAGCTGGTTTATATGTCGCTCTGTGACTATTGTTGGCAAACAATCTCAATGATACGCGTCTTTTAATACTTTCGACAACCTGAATGCTAACGGGAGATTCGCACTGGTTAGCATCAGTGAATTCATTGTCTGCCGAATTCAGTATATGTACTCAATTCCTTTGGCATCTCTGGCAGTCCCTCTGAGATTTTAACTATTGGATACTTTGCTAGCAGCTAATAAATTGTTTTATCTCTGAGGATTTTATATTTTCTTTGAATATTTCCTTTCGTCAAATATTACTCTAAGACATACTTTACAGGCTTGTAGAACTATTTGGTAATCTCCTTCAAACTTTCTATATATCATAGTAATATCGTTCCTATTCGTGGGTTCTTGATCCACCAGGATTATTGGGACGATTTAAATATCCGTTCTGGTTTTGATTCATTCGGTAAATTTTCAGAGGAATTTATCATCACAATAAAACCCTTGATTACCCCCTTTTGTTCTGAAGAGTAAAATTTAAACCTTTGTCGAGGATCACCTAATTTCAAGCTCGAGGGAAATAAAAGTTAAATTCAATACATCATCTTAATCCTTTGTGTGGTCTATGGGATTTTTCATTATAGATGCCTGTTCTTTTTTTATATATTGGCCTATAAATTTCATATTTAAGCAGCCTTAAATCCGAGATCTTTTCCTACATTCTGACTGGTATCCTCGGTAGTTTACGAAAGTCCTTAGGAATGGATATCATACTTAAATAATTCCTGAGTCTAGACTTAATATTTACAAACTTAAATTACCTTATCAATTTTCTATCATAAGTCACCTTACATATATTATTAACTTTTTTGGATGATAATTTTTACTTGATTGCAAAAACTAGGAGGGATGTCATAACGTTTACAGCAATTTAGAAAAGTCGACTGATAAGACTAACTTATAAGTGTGTTCCTTGATTCCCTATAAGTTATGCATTGTCTGGCCAATATCCACAGCAATTAGATCGTAGATAGGAAGACCTCATAAATAACCATAGGTTTAAGGCATATATACAACAAGTGAGTCTTCTTGCCTAGTTACCTTGAATTAGGTTTAGGAATAATAATCTCCTCTTAGGATGGCATTCATATAAAATAACAGTACTTAGTCTATTTTCACCGGAACCAAAAAAGATTGTCATGGGACAGTGAAAAGCAGAACATATCAGTAAGGCCCAACGACAACTGTCCATGAAGAATCTGTCGTTGTTTTCCGGTAAGACTGACGATTGAAACTTTTTATCACACAAGTTCGATAGAAATGCAAGTGAGCTCGAAAAATTAATAATACAAAGCGTGTTGCAAATATAAGAGATATTAATGAATATTACTTTTCAAGAGCTAATTCTTCGTACTGAATTAGCAATATATTTCATCAAACGAAGCACTTTTATTACTAAAACAGATCAATAATAATAAATAGTTCAAATAGCAAGAAATCCTTCAAAGCAAGGTCAAGGAATGAGAAATATAAAAGCATGCATTAAAAATAGAAGAAAATAATGCAATAAATTTGTTAATTAAATACACAAATTCAATTGAGAGAAAGCTTTTCGATTTAGAATTAGAAGTGTATAGTACTTATAAGTTGTGATAACAACAGCGATATTTATGTGATAATTTTGAGCATTTAGCTGAAAAAAATTAAAAAGGATTTTTATTTAGACGTAAGAAAATATGAAAGATTGTTTTGCGTCCCACTATATAATTACCTGAATGAAAGTTCTTTTGTGATTTACCATACTTAACTGTTTATTAAGAAAGAGTCGTATGTTAGCACCGTTATTCAGGCTGATTGTCAGCTAACCATTTTCGAGGGAAAATCTTCAAAAGGCTATCATGCGTGGTAATCTCCTGGTTGTAGGCAAAAATGCCGAACCATTCATCGTTAATAATAAGAAAAATCGCAAGGCACAATAATGTATCAAAGATAAGGAAAGTAGCAAGAGCAGAAGTATATCGCATAGCTGCACGATTTAGCTAAAAAAATACTTACCAAGAAAAATATGCCCTAACACTGGATTTACAAGTGCCGTAACATTTATTAAAGATGAACAATACCAATCTAATAAAGGAAACTTTTTGCCTACCTTAGAAGGTATATCTAATTCTAAGGTCGGAGTCAATGGTAAGCAACCCATAAACAGAAGCTATAACAAACCATACTCCTAAAACTTATGCTAAAGTATGTGGACTCTTTAGCCTCGTTTTAAAAATAATTGCAAAAATGATGCCTTAATAGATTAAAAAAACAAAATAAATACTAAGTTTGGATCAAGATATTGTAAGAACTAAAAATAGTCACTTTTGCTCCACAATCAGTTTGGTTACATCTCTCGCAGTTATCTCTCAACTCATGCAACACCAAGTTGAGCATGAATTACCGGTAATATGGAGCTCGGAGATTGAGCGCATCTAGCCACTCCGTTAAACTCATCAGAACGTGGCATCAAAAGTACAAAATATTACTTTAAACCAGTAACTTCCTAGACCATTACACCCTGATCCGCGGATTCTTTGTGTCGTTGTTACCCCCTGTGACTTACTGTAACGGAACAGTCGTCTTGCGCCACCACCATACTACACCACCTGTATTTTCCCACATCGTATCCTTGCTCTAACTTTTCGTCTTCTATGTAATGAACTCCGTGTCTCGTTTTCGTATTTCTTAATAGTCATGCTGATGAAGTCGATGTGTTCCATCACGTTGTGAAATGAAAGCCTTTCGCAAACTCAGTAATGAGAATATTATGTCATATATTTTCTCAGAAAAGAAGTTTCCTAAAAAATGGCAGGCTAAGATCGATTGCGTAATCAAAATTAGAAGAAAGTATTAAAAATATAAATTGGGTGGACAAATGTTTTCAAAAAAATATAAAGGACCAGTTACCAAAGTGAATGCAATTTCGATCTACCACATAAGAGGAAAAAATTAGCTTTTAATGCTAAGGTAAAATTTTATAAAAGAGTTATAGATAAGTCTGATAGAAAAATCAATGTATTCATAAATAAGAATAATTGCCCAGATAAAAAAATAAGAAAGAAAACATCTAAATAATCCTAGCATTTTTGCTGTAATGAAGTCGAGCTTAAGCTCTTGCAAGTTAACTAAAAGCCATAGATATTTAGTCGATTTTGACAAACATCTAGTTTAGCATTTAACGACAAAAGTATTGTAGAGTAAAAACAGGTGCTTAAATTGTTCAAGCACAGCTATTCGAATTTCAATATAGCAATATCTCACCATTAAGCGTGTATCAAAGAGGCTGCGATGTAGTGCAAAGGCAGCATCTGGGCTCACGTGCATCTCACCCATCAAGCGATCAACCGGTAAGCACTGTAGTTGCATTTCGTCACGAGACAGTTGGAGACTCAAATAGGTGATGAACTGGACAAGAGTTCCTTGGCACTAACAGGAAGGAATTAATGAAAAACAGATCAAAATAAACCAAGGAAATAGGAAAAAAATATTATTGAGAAGGATATATTAGATGATGGAAAGTGCAAAATGTATAAGGATTGCTTTAAAGAGTAAATCGAAAAGCGAAGGAAATTATTGTATCCGTATTAATAGATAAATCTTAAACTTGGCATAATTCAATAAGATTGAAATCCATAAAACCTATCATAATGACTATACGCAAAAATGAAACTCAGAAATACACCAACGACTGAGCCAAAGTCAGGAACTACGCTGTACTGTCAAATGGAAAAATTTTTCGTGTATGTGTGTTCCAACAAGAGGCATTCTAGATTTTTGCATGATCAACCCCGCACCACTATAAATATTTATCAGAAAAAGCGGATTTCAATTGATCTACTGAGATAACATTTTTGTGAAGACTCTGAATTCATATTAAAGTGCATAATGAAGTGATTTCTAGTTAAACATCACCAGAAGACGACGGGTGTTTCCTGTTGTACGGCAGCCACTAGGCATTAATAAGTCTCAGAATGGCACAGTCCACGAGACATCCTCTCTCATTTCAGACAAAAGCTAGATGAGCTTTCTATGGCTAACGCCATCAGAGCTGGGACTCTTTCTTGAAAAAGAATGAGTTAAGAATTGTGGTATTACTTTCTATTTCTAAAAAAAATTTGGCTGGAAGGAATTCAAGAAATTGTCTTAGTGGAAGCCGAAGAAGCAATGACACGGAGTGAAAAATGTTGGATTGTTCAAGGTCCTCAGTTCACTGTTTTGCGG